TACCTTTGATGCCAGACATGCATAGATACACCATCACTGAGGGCGCAATCATGTCACATGAGGGCGCAATTACCTTTGATGCTTGACATGCATACATATACCATCACCTGAGGGCGCAATCATGTCACATGAAGGCGCTATTACCTTTTGATGCCAGACATGCATACATATACCATCACCTGAGGACGCAATCATGTCACATGAGGGCGCAATTACCTTTTGATGCTTGATATGCACAGATACACCATCACCTGAGGGTGCAATCATGTCACATGAGGGCACAATTACCTTTTGATGCTTGACATGCAGATACACCATCACGTGAAAGCGCAATCATGTAACATGAGGGCGCTATTACCTTTTGATACCAGACATGCATACATATACCATCACCTGAGGGCGCAATCATGTCACATGAGGGCGCTATTACCTTTTGATGCCAGACATGCATAGATACACCATCACCTGAGGGCGCAATCATGTCACATGAGGGCGCAATTACCTTTTGATGCTTGACATGCATACATATACCATCACCTGAGGGCGCAATCATGTCACATGAGGGCACAATTACCTTTTGATGCTTGACATGCATACATATACCATCACCTGAGGGCGCAATCATGTCACATGAGGGCACAATTATCTTTTGATGCTTGACATGCATAGATACACCATCACCTGAGGGCGCAATCATGTCACATGAAGGTGCTATTACCTTTTGATGCCAGACATGCATAGATACACCATCACCTGAGGGCGCAATCATGTCACATGAGGGCGCAATTACCTTTTGATGCTTGACATGCATACATATACCATCACCTGAGGGCGCAATCATGTCACATGAGGGCACAATTACCTTTTGATGCTTGACATGCATAGATACACCATCACCTGAGGGTGCAATCATGTCACATGAAGGTGCTATTACCTTTTGATGCCTGACATGCACAGATACACCATCACCTGAGGGCACAATCATGTCACATGAAGGTGCTATTACCTTTTGATGCCAGACATGCATACATATACCATCACCTGAGGGCGCAATCATGTCACATGAGGGCGCAATTAGCTTTTGATGCTTGACATGCATAGATACACCATCACCTGAGGGCGCAATCATGTCACATGAAGGCGCTATTACCTTTTGATGCCTGACATGCATATTTACACCATCACCAGAGGGAGCAATCATGTCACTTGAGGGCGCTATTACCTTTTGATGCCTGACATGCATAGATACACCATCACTGAGGGCGCAATTACCTTTTGATGCCTGACATGCATAGATACTGTAGGATCTCTTCCTTTTTTCTTCTTAGAATCATCTAATCCTAAATCTTGATAGAAATCTTCTTCAATGACTGGTTTATCCATTAAGCCTTGTAATATATTATCTACAAATGCATCATCATCTCGTTCTTCAATTTCCCGGGCCACAGCTGTAAAACAGTTGGATTTGTACATAACATAAGTATGTGTTGTCATAGCAACATGACACTACATTTTGGTCGCATTTTAAAATTTCCATGAAACGAGAAACAGAGAATTTTTTTTTCCCTGGCCTAATTGATATATAACACAGTTTCCCCAAATTGGCATTGTGTTTGCACTCAAGTGAGTCTATATTCAAACTAACATACTGTGTATTCTATCATGCGCATATCACAAACTTGAAGCTGCAAAAGACCATACTTACTCAATACCATAATACCACAACATGAAGATGTTGTACATTTATCTAACAAGCAATGATTTAATAGTAAACAAAACTGAAAAGAGCAATTTTGAATCAGAACATGAAACAAATGACATGATGTATATAGTTTGAACATGATCAGCCAAGGTATGCCAGATACAGCTCTGGAACCACTTTCATTAAAATAAAACGGCAACCAATTGGCCAATTTGAATCTGATTTGTAAAAAAAAATTAAGTGCATCAAGGTCCAATAATTTCCAACGCATGTACCAGGTTTGAACAAAATCAAGTCATGCGTTGCTAAGATCTGGTTCCGAGATGGCAGAAATGCTTTATTTTGATGAATTTGTAACTTTTATGGTCGCAATTTGAATCTTGAATCAAAACATGAAATGAATGGTCATGCATATATATGGACACTACCATTGAATGTGTAATTGCAAAAGAAATTAAACTTATTCAAATGTATGTACGCCTGGTGTTACTTACCATCGGAGAGACTCCCGTATATGGATAAGCAAACCCTGGGTCCTCAACTTCTAATAAATTATCCCAATGTCTTTTCACTTCACTCTTTGTGGGAGGTTGTCTCCTAGGTGATGGGGAATCATAGTCATATTCTTCCTCTGCATCATCGTCAAGGATACACTTATCACTCATCCATGATTCAATAAATCTTGAGCTGATGTGAAAAGAAAAAAGTAAGACATGTTTACTGGAATTCAATATAAAGTATGGGGATACAACAACTGATTGTGTTCAACCCCCACCTGTTTGCACCAAAAAAGGGAATTTGTTGAATAGTGAATCAGTAAAATATTACCTATTAGTCCATAGAATACTAATCTGTAATTCATGTAAGGGCATGTGTCACTAATTAAGTCACTCATAGATTTCATGGAACAAAATCTTGTATATCTATGCAGATATCGTACTGCCTAGGTATTACTGTCAAATCTGTATTACCAGCTGCAATTTCTATTAAAATGGTACAATGCAACAGAAGGAATGCAACTTCTATTAGAGCATCTACACAGAAATGGTAATTTTTTTCTCAATTGTTTAAAAATAATGGGTGTGACTATTACTAGTAGGGATGCGGCTTCTAATACAGATTTTACTGTATTTAGAAGTTCTAAATAACAAGTTGACAGTATTTGCTAGTGGATACCTCGATAAGATTAGCATTATTAGCAAAGAGATGATTGTCACAGGTGCTATTATTTGCAATATATATATTTTGTTAATATGATAGAAAAATGATAGGTCATTTATTTATACATACATGTATGCTTCGCAATGTCAGTGGATAGACAGCAATGAAACATTGAAATACACACAGTAATAATGTATCACAGATGAGCATTGCCAATACTTGAAAGGTCAAACCTTGCTTTCAAAACTATCATACATGCATATGTGAACTGCATAGTAATCCGCCTAAATATGTTTAATACATGTGTATATAAACATATGTAATTCTACAAATAAGTTGAAATAATTAATGACACTCATTTTAAAAATTATGTTTTCATGACAGCTTTAAAGTTGAATCACACCTGGAGCATACTGTATACATGTATCTAATATATAACATCATTTATACTCAAAACATATTTATATAATTTGGTTTTTTTTTTGGATTTTTAAAATCAGCTAATAGTGTTTTATTTCTGAAAACAATACCCAGATTTGCAATGCACATTACAATATATAATGATTTTCAAATGGATTTGGGGCTGACCTCGCCCATACAAGAGTTTCCCCGTGCTAGTAGTTCCCTGCCAACACAATCAATTCCCAATCAACAGAGGCAGTTACCCAACTGAAAATATAAAAATGTTTTTTTTCAAAGCTGAAATGATGATAAGAAAATCGAATGATGACTCATTTATGCAACATGTTTATGTAGCATCTGCAAATAAAATGTGGTCATTACAAAACCATTTGTGAAAATACAAATCTATTTAAATTCAATTTAATTATAGATGTATGCAAATGATTTTTTTAAATGCAGATACTCATTGACAAATTCAGTTCATCAAAGTTGCTCATTCATTCTTGCCCTGAGCTTTATTTTAAACTCTCTTCAAAATAGAATATTTCTCAGACGGCTCAGAATATACAATATTTTTTTTGTACTTGATATTTTTTTCCACATGTAGACTACTCTTCCAGGGCTTAGACAATGCATGCTCTTCTTGAGGTCAGATCAAACTTACTCGTAAATATTTTAAGACAACAGCAAAAAAAAACATTTTAACAAAAACACATTGGCAAAAATGGATGCCAAAACTGTTCCTTGGTTTGAAATGAAATTAAGTAAATCAGATCCACCATGTTTGTTAACTTGTATGTATCCTTTGACAACATGGTTCAAATCTAGTAGTTTACTATTTATAAAGTAGCTTCCACATCTGTGTATATCCCCAGTGTTTACAAATTCTAATTCACAACAATGTCGTCAATGTTTCCATAGTACTTGATTTTTAACATACCTTCAGTGTAAGCTTCATCATGATCATGTAGTGCATCAACTGTTGCCATGGCAGTAGACATACTGTTACCATGGCTCCCACCAGTGTAACGATGGCCAAAGGTGACTGCTGCTGCTCTATCTGATGCCTCTTGTACTTTCTACACATATTCAAAACAAAACAAAATATAATTATTACAGATAACAAGAAAATGCTATTTTACTAATACTTTCAGTGATGTAAACTACACAGATACACAAAACACTTAATATCAAATTATTTAATGGGTTTAATGCATTCCAAGAAGCCATGCATAGATGTGTCCATGTTTCAATGAATCATTTAACTTATTCAACTTTGTGCAAAAAAAGCATTCCTTCATCTTCATAAATATGCACATATTTCAATGGCAGTTGAATCAAACCAGCCAATCAACAAGCATAGTGCGTAACAGCATCATTTGAAAATGTTTCAATGTTATTTAAAGTGAGAGGGTCATCACCTGTGCATTTTTGGGAATTGAGTTCCAAACGATGATAACACATGCTAAAAACACAAAGGCTCATGGGTAGACACTTGTTTGTAAATAATGTCACACTATGGCCATCTGACGCATGCGCATGTGACGACTCCCCTGCTTTAATCGGCTAAAAGAAACCTCTTGTTTCAGTTTAAATTGTGAAATTTATAATTATTTATGAAGATGAAGGGAATTCCTTTATTGTGTCAATAGTATGTTTTTCTATAAGATTTTGTTGAAAAACAACAACAAAAAAAGAAAGTTGAAAAGCAAAAACCAATTATCTGTTCTAATCTGGTTCTGGAAAGTAACTTTTATTATACAATTTGACATAACAAGACCAAAAACAAAAACCACTTACAATGTACATGTATAGAAAACACATCAGTGCTTTATACTGAACATTTTTTTTCCAAAAGTCTTACTTTCGACTAGAGCTTTACACAGATTTACAGAGTTCTTGTTGACATGCCAATATACGTACATCAGTCAATACAGTAATGGGCATTGTGAGGTATTCTCAAGATAACTCACCTTGATCCAGTCTTGGATGTCATCATTATTGGTCACTTTCTATAAACGGAATAAAAATTACTGATTAAATCTAAGAAGTTTGTGAAAAAGATGACTTTAAAACTTGAGGCATTAGTAATAAGTTATATGTATCTGAGTTTAAAATACAAAATGTGGCAGAGTATCCAAGCGTAATATTGCTGCATTTTTAAAATGTGTAGTAAAGTTACAATATTTTCTTTATTTTATTCATAAAGGTGGCATAAGCACATGAATATCAAGTGCAAATTCATTCTACATTATACATTATTAAATCATAATTTTTCAACAATGGTATCCAATTTTAGTTCATGACGATGCCTCCATTATATCATCACCCCTTGACTAATGGTGTTGTACACGTGAAAGTGGTAAATCTTTACATTTGACAACTTTTAACCAACATGATTTCATTAACAGATTAACGCTCGCCCATTCTCTTGCATTATTTATTAATTGTGATCACATGTACTCTGAGATTAATTTGATACTGACTTTTAGCATACATATATTAATTAAACGTAGCATTCCGGCATTTAAATTTCAATGTCATAGCTTGGCAAGAAGAGAGCTACATGTACAGCCTCTGCATCATGGGTACAATGTATCTGCATCATTAATGATGTACAAATAAACTGAACCACAGGAATAATATTAACAGGCTATGAACACAATAATTCTGCCTGAAAAAAACTACTGTGCCACCCCTAATCCTAACTCTACCCTCTTCAAAGCCCCTAATTCAATTGTACAGTATGCAATGTATGCCCCTCTAGATAACTTTAAGTGTTCTTAGGAGGGGCATATACGGTACAATTAAATTTGGCAGCGCTGAAGGGTAGGGGCAGGGTTAGTGTTAAGGTTAGTAGTGGAGGTACTAAAGGACCTCTTTCCACTCTGCTTGTGACTTTTAACTTTCTTTCATGATTTTTTTCTGACAAATTCTAATATACTTTAATTAAATGTACTTCCAAACTATCAGTATCAGACAACTGTGTGTACATGTTACAGTCAGGGCTCGAAATTAGCGATAGCCCCGCGTCCACAGACTACCAGTTTCTTTCTTGGGGCTACCACTTTTCACATGCGACTAGGACAAGTTTGTATCTATAAAAAAAATAATAAGAAGAGGACACGCACGCACAATAAAGTCAACCACTTTCTTAAATTTCCTGCTGATATTTGAATTGGTCATACAATAAGGTATAAAATTACAATACAAGACAAAAACACACTAATAAACTGATAAAAGATTGTAATTTCTTTACGGTGATAATACAGTGCTATTGTATTGTATGTACGGTACGTTTGTCATTTACGTAACAAGTGTTACTGCCCCCCTCCCCCAATGAAGAAGTTGGGTCTCAAGAAACTATTTCCAATTAATAAGATACGACGACCACTCACGCATTCATTGTCAACCGAAATATGTGTACATACTAGTACAACATATATAGTAAGACGGGCAAACATAAAATGAGTCTGAACTTGAGTTTATTTACCCGGGTTACTAGTATTTACCTTAGACGTTGTAGTCGATGGCTTAGGAGCGGTCAATCTCTTCCAGCGATACAAAGAAGGGTTAGATTGTGCCATAGTCTCCGTGTGACACACAACAACTGATGTGAACAAGCATGCGTGCCGCGATTACTGAAACTTTTATCGACAGTGTTGACAAATAATTTTAACTGTCATGTAGATCGCCATTTTGGTCAATTCCCATAATTCTTTGCGTTTAAACGAACGGCAAACGTAAATTGCTTGCTGAGGGCGCACTGGATCCCCATACGAGTAACTACAAGTAAGTACGCGCGTTGTGTGGCACAGGACGCACAGTCCAAGCAAATCACTGTGTTATATGTGGTTTCGGCGTTTAACTTTCTTTCTTGATTTTATATGACAAATTCCAATATACTGGCAAGGTTAAAAACACTTCGAAACTATCACATCTACATATCTCAGTGAAATATTGTGTTTAGTGAGTGAAATATTAAATGTTCCTACATAATTAATTTTTTGAAAAGGCAGAAATTAATGCTTATATTTTAGGTTCGAAATTTCCGCGTAAATTCAGGTTTTATCTATCTTAAAATAAACAGTCTTTGAACATAAAAAAATAACGCGTTTTCGAACCAGTTCAGACTTCTATAGTAGTCCGAGAAACCAGGAAATTGCAGGATATACTGACCCGGGCCTGTTTATTTGATATTTCTAAGTTTCATTTATCGTTATTTACTGAAGAAATAACTGAAATGATTTATTATATCCGTAAAATCCGTGTCGACTGGCGATTGATGTTTCAAGTTTCGAACAAACTCCCGGAACTCATTCGGGCGTGATATGTGTCAGATCAGTCACGGTGTTGAGAGGATTCCGACCAGTCTCCTTCCCATAGGTCTTTGCGCCTTACGCAATAGTAACGCACATCGAACTGTGTGGAGTACGGATGCCGACCTGCAGCTTCAATGGAGGAACGTATATTTGGAATGAACTGTGACCTCTGCCGGCGTGAGTGTCCTTACTGGGTTCGTACTAATTGCTCAACTGATTATACATTATACAGTCGCTAATGTATTTTTTGGTCGATATATATCGTGGGTACACAATACAGTCGCTAATGTATTAGATTCGACGTCATTGGAATGAAAGTAGGTAATATATCTCAGACGAAGGTGTATCAAGAATCGATTGGACTTCGGTCAATAACCACTACTTGGACGTTATAATTATTCATATTCATATTCTTACGTTAATATGTGTATATAATTCCTGGAATGAAATAAGTATAGTCACGATTAAATAGGAAATATTGATAAATTTGATAAGTTTGAATATTCGTCTTGAATAATGACGCATATCGACATATCCACTGCTGCCTTTGATTTATAGTAACACGGCATACGTTGTTTTTTCATCGCAGAGTAGCAGTATAATGAGCATGCGCAGTTGTGCAGCATATTGCTTTATTAAATTAAATAATTGTGTTCAAACCGAGCACAATATATCCAGAATAACAAATTGTAATTTATTACAAAAAAACTATGGTATCCATATAAGCTCTTTAAAATATTCTCGTAGTCAAAAAGGGTGTTTGTGTATTTAGAATTCTCGTTTGTCCGTCGACGTTACTATGCCAACGAATACTATACATCACGTCTGACGGGTAGTTTACGTCATTATATTATTATATTAGTATGACGAATACATAAAATATCGTATTTTTTTAATAACTTAAAGAGCCGTAACATATAAACACATTTATTTTTACTGCTCAATGAAGTAATTGTCACGTGAATTTTCCTTACAAGTATATCGATGTTAAACTTGAAATCTATTCTGAAATAAACACAAATTTGTCATTTTTAAAATTTGATTGATTAGATTGCAATCATCGCCAGTCACTGCTACAAAACGTCGTTGCACTAAATCCCAGGCTGTAGTGTGTGCCTCGAACCGAATGAGCGTACATGTCCACCTGGAACCACAGAGTGTGTTGGTTCGGGCTCTCGTTATTGATCGGAAATCATATTATAATATATCTATATTCTGAGATAGGCATGCCCTGTATACCCCAGTTTTCAAGTATGTTTACATATATTCTAAATATAAATTTCAGTGTGGAACATTAAATGTATGCAGTGGAAATGTCACCTAGTATACTAGTACTTTGCTAAGTGCTTTACCCACCATGTGTTGGTTCATCAATACACCTTTTCACCAGTCGCGATACATGCTTCAGACTGACACTAAAAAAAAAATCGATATTCATTCAGTAATATTTTTTTTTACCTAATATTGTTTTGTTTGTTCACCGGAAACACTATCCTAATGTACGTATTCGATCGTTTACCTAGTAAAAAACGGTTGAACAGCATTGATGTGGATTTGTTTGCACAATAAAGACTTTTATCGACGTGGAATTTATCAATATTTACGGAGTGTAATTATTATGGGCAGATTGATTGCCGTGAGTTGGAATTCACTCAAAATAATTAATAGAGACTAACGAGTAAAGGCACATTACCCATAATGCAATATGACAAAACGTCATATCCTTTCTTGGTACCTTAAACAATTTCTTTCCTGCCTTTCTCAATGACGAGCGCTAATAAGAAGGACAGATGAGGTATTTTTCAGTTTATATATTTAATACACAAGTATAATTTATTGTGAAATGCAAACATTTATTTGTCAGAACATATAGCTGTACTTATTTGATAATGGGTGTACTTGGAATACTAGCCTAAGCGCACAGGCTTTTCCAATTTATTGTACGTATAGTTAAAGCTTGGTGCAAGCCCGTGCACTTGCGTTTTCTATGTTTCTCTATTAAATTTCCTGCAAAAACAACGTTATATTGGATCGTTTTAAAAAACACTGAAATCTATCAAGCGGTCATGATCAAAGAAATAAACTGACCAGGAAATCCGCTATCTCAACCATTTGCTATGTAATATACATAGGAACATAGCAGTATTCAAGTTTGTTTGAGTCAAATAAGGACATTGCGTATATGCTTAAGCAAAGATCAGCAATATTTTACAAACATGCTTAAATTTGAAATACAAATTGCATGCTTGTAATTAAATATAACAATTCACTCTCTTGAAATTTAGGATTTAGTAATTCATAATTTCACGCATTTCTTTCGCTTGAAGTCTGATCTTATATTGAACCTAACTGTATCAATCACACTTGAAAACGATTGTTTCACGGAGCATGTAGTTCCATTAAATATTGCAGTACTGCAATGAAAACTGATAGGGAGGTAACAGTATTTCAGCGTATCAGTGTGTCTCGTCGCTATAATTATATGTACTAATGAGAGATATGCGCCGCAAAATGCGCACGAAACAAAACTGCTCTAGTAGTAGAAATCGATTTTTGACAGAGTAACACAGGCTAATGACGTACAGAGTACGTAATATCGAATATAGCAATTAATCATTAATTTAATAAAAAAAGTACCTAGCTAACGAAACCGTCGAACTCGACGTTCTTTACACTATTGACCCACGTTGTCGACATTGGGTAGATACATCACGCGAAATATTATCGAATGTTTTGACAACGCAGTGTAACAGCCCACTCGATATATCCTTGGATACGATCTTAATGCAAACTAAGGTGAGTTTTAAAGGTCAATGAAATGTACAAATCCTAATAGTACTCATAACTAAATTGCTGAATTTCTTTTAACCGTTCGAATTTGTCTGATACGTTAAGCGCAATGTGAAACTCTAAGCATGTTATGTTGACATATATATATATATATGAATATATATATATATATAATGTATTTGTCTGAAATCTAGATGTAATACAACTATTGAAATTATGAAAATATAATATACTGTGGTGATGCATGGTAAAATCCAATATTAATGAAATTATCTAAATTATTTTTTCACACTTTCCACCACTACGGATAATACAAGATCTTTGTTTCCATGGCTGCACGGTTTCTATGAACACATTGACTCTCATTGCAATTATATTGAGTCAAAAATACTGTTAAACAAAACAATATCAAGAATACATTTTCTTAAAAATACTTCGAGTAGGAAGCGTTCAGACTAAACCACTTTTATTGGAAATTCATCGCCAGTGTTATGTCCTTGAATGCATCTTGATTAAATGCATACTTTCGTTTGTTGTAAAACGACATAAACTTGACCGACGTGCTAATATTTAACGACGCTATTTGTGTTAGCGGCAAATACATGTACGCTCTAATATAAATTGAATACACACATTCAGGATGTGAATACGTCTGTAATTGTAGCCACTGAATTGATCATTTAACATGACGTTCAATGCGAAATATCAACAGATTTACCGAGACAATTCACTGTATAGACATTTGAAATATGAATAGCAATCCACCTTTGCTAGACTAGTGTGATCCATATTCACTAATGGTGTCCCTGATTTTAACGACTAAATCGTAAAATACAACAATGCATTACTATATAGAAAGAAATACATTCAATTATTCAAAACAAACGCTTAACGCGTAGTCAAAACTGTCAAATCGTATTAAGACTCAACTCAGAGTGCATTGACCTGTGTAGATTTCCTTCATAAAATTACCTATCATAGTACTAATATATTACTTTTACGACATTATTCTACTAAATACGTCATTTAAATGCCTATATTTATTAATTGTGAGTCACGATTCTGTTTTCTTTAGAACATAATGTGTTCGATAGCCGTCTACGTAGTGTGTTATACCTGTTATTCTATATATGCAAAACACGACACTGTGGCTTTCGACGTAGACTTTATGTCACGTGTATCGCAATAGAACATTGGTAGTGATGCTGATTTGGTCCAACAACCATGGCAAGAATTAAAGTAAGTGACGGGATAATACGTGAGACGATTGATATACCACGCGTATATAATGGCATAACACGTGAAATGAGTTTATACTATGTGCAGTGATTGTTATACCGCGTCATGTAACGTGGGATGAATTGTATAATACGTGAAGTATATGATGCATTACGCGCGTGTTACGTAAGTGAGTGATATGTCATGTGAAGTGACTAGGACATATATTTTACACCGGGAGCGCGAGTAGCAATGAGCGATCATATTACATCGGTAATGTGTTCATTATTGAAAGACAAGCCATAGCAATAACCCCTCCCCCCCCCCCCGCCGCTGAAAATGTTAAAGCTGCTGGCGTGAAAGTTTCAGTATGTTGTTTAGAGGATCGAATTATTTTGAGCGGTGAAGTCGTAAAGAAGGTGTGTTCCTGACCTCTGAATGGCCAGTGTTAACAAATAGTGGAACTTAGAATAGTACACGTGAATGAATTATAAACAACGTCAATATACTGTATATCGCGCAAAGTGAATGCTATACAACGTGAAGTGAATGACATACCACGTGAAGCGAATAATCTGAAACGCGCATTATGTTTTATACTCAGTGCAGTGGCTGGTATACAACGTGAAGAAAAATTGAAACTCGTATTATATATTGGTATTTAAGTATGACACTTGTACTTATGGTCAGCATTTTGTAAATAACACTCGGCTTTAGAGCTTGGGATATTTACAAATAATGTCCCAAATGTATATGTCACACAGAAAATAACTCTTCATGTATCTTTTATTTCACATAGGCGACTAAGTCATTACTTGTTCTCGGCGTTATTGTAGTAGGCATTTCTGGATACGTGTTAATATCATCGAGGAATCATAGAGTTCACAGCAAGCTGAACAGAGACGAATTCTCGTAAGTATATATGTTCAGTGTGTCATGTACATTATTATTTAACTACGATTGAAAACAAGAAATAGAAAAAAAAGGACAAATACATAGCAAATGGCATTTGTATCGGTGTATAACTGCCACTATGATTATGTGACATGCAGCTCTTATGAAACAATTGTGCGCAGACCAGATCTAAATTGTGTATGAAATGAGCAGTTTTTTTGCAGGAACTAATGTTTCTGACGTATTCTGGGACTTGAAATGTGATTAAGTATACTGCCGTTCATAGCGGAACATAGTGAGATTAAACTATATTGGCATAACCAATTTATCTGGAATGACGTCATTATAACATATAGTGATACCATCATGTCTGAAAAAATCCAAATTTTTTGCTGACGTTATATTTGTTTTCCAGAAACATTCCAATCCACTATGACTATTACTGCGTTTTACAATTGTATTTGGTAAATTGTTTTACAATCTGTTATAGTATTCTAGAATCGATTAATGCAATGAACACACTGTCTGAGAAAACCATTACCGCCAACATTATGAATGTGACATCAATACACAAAGTGCGATGTGACGTGCCAGCTGTATTGACGAAACTAAATATTTCAAGGTATGTAATCATATTATACATAATATCCATACATTGAAACGCAAAATGTATTATAATACGACAATACAAAACAATTCAAATTCTTGTCACTTCCCATGTAAACATTTACTACCATGCAATCGTGTACTGCTATGTGATGATGTATTACCAGTGTACTGCAATGTAAACATGTATCACCAATGTACTGCAATGTAACCATGTCTTACCAATAAACTGCTATGTAACAATATATTACCAATGTACTGCTATGTAAGCATGTAATACCAATGTACTGTCATGTAACAATGTATTACCAATGTACTGCAACTGAAACCATTTATTACCAATGTACTGCACATGCGACCATGTATTACAAATGTACTGCTATGTAACAATGTATTACCAATGTACAGCGCCTGTGACCATGTACTGTTATGTAATCAAGTCTTACCAATGTACTGCTATGTAACCATGTATTACCAATGTACTTCGCCTGTAACCATGTATTACAAATATACTGCGCCTGTAATCATGTCTTACCAATGTACTGCTATGTAACAATGTATTACCAATGTACTGCGCCTGAAACCCTTGTACTACAATGTACTGCCATGTAACAATGTTCTACCAATGTACTGCAACTGAAACCATTTATTACCAATGTACTGCGCATGTGACCATGTATTGCAAATGTACTGCAATGTAACGATGTATCACCAATGTACTGCCATGTAATCATATCTTACCAATGTACTGCTATGTAGCAATGTATTACCAATGTACTGCGCCTGAAAATCTTGTATTACAAATGTACTGCTATGTAACAATGTATTACCAATGTACTGCACCTGAAACCATGTATTACCAATGTACTACGCCTGCAACCATGTGTTACCAATGTTCTGCTATGTAACAAAACATTACTAATTTACTGCGCCTGAAACCATGTATTACCAACGTATTGTGCCTGTAACCACGTATTACCAATGTACTGCGCCTGAAACCCTTGTAATACCAATGTACTGCAATGTAACGATGTATCACCAATGTACTACTATGTAATCATGCCTCACCAATGTACTGCTATGTAACCAAGTATTACTAATGTACTGCTATGTGACCATGTATTACCAATGTACTTCGCCTGTAACCATGTATTACAAATACACTGCACCCGAAACCATGTATTACCAATGTACTACTATGTAACAATGTTTTACCAATGTACTGCACCTGTGACCACGTATTACCAATGTACTGTGCCTGAAACCCTTGTAATGACAATGTACTGCAATGTAACGATGTATCACCAATGTACTACTATGTAATCATGCCTCACCATTGTACTGCTATGTAACCAAGTATTACTAATGTACTGCTATGTGACCATGTATTACCAATGTACTTCGCCTGTAACCATGTATTACAAATACACTGCACCTGTAACCATATATTACCAATGTACTGCGCCTGAAACCCTTGTATTACCAATGAACTGCTATGTAACAATATATTACCAATGTACTGCTAACGTAAACATGTAATACCAATGTACTGCCGTGTAACAATGTATTACCAATATACTGCAACTGAAACCATCTATTACTAATGTACAGCGCCTGTGACCACGTATCACCAATGTACTGCTATGTAACCAAGTATTACCAATGTACTGCTATGTAACCATGTATTACCAATGTATTGCGCCTGTAACCATGTATTACCAATGAACTACTATGTAACCATGTATTACCAATGTACTGCGCCTGAAGCCCCTGTATTACCAATGTACTGCTATGTAACAATGTATTACCATGTACAACACATGTAATCATTGACTACCGTGTAAACATGTACAACCCATGTAACCATGTACTGCCATATGTAACCATGTACAACCCATGCAACCATTGACTACCCGTGCAACCATGTACTACCCATGTAACAATGTACTGTCATGTAACCATGTACAACCAATGTAACCGTGGACATCCCATGTAACCATTGATTATTCGTACATGTACTACTTATGTATCCATGCAATGCCATGTAACCATGGTCAACCCATGTATTAAACAATGTGCTGCTCATATGTACTTTGTTGCACTCATTGTTAATCGTTATACAATGTCGAACTTTCTGTCCATTGAATTTTTGTCTGATTCTATTCATTTTATGTTTATTTGTTGCAATTGTTACCTATATATATATATATATATATATATATATATATATATATATATATATATATATATATATATATATATATATATATATATATTGCATTTTTGTCGTTCCAGAAATTCAACCAATCACATCAGGGACAAAATCAACAACTTAGTGTTAACGAAGTCCAATGTGAAAATGGGAATGGCAATTCATTTGAATGACCAGCGGGTATACAGAATATCATCGGAATTTTACAGCATATTGCCCGGGAAAGGATTTATTTCAGCCTCTAGAAATAGATCGTGCATTATCACAAGTAACGATGTATATGACATGAAATGTACAACAGTTCCTTTTTTGTATTACATGACATGCGGACTGGGTCCTTCTGTGTGGGATTACAGCACTCGTCCTGAGGATCATGTTGTACAGATAACGCTGGGAGATTTAGAAAATTTTCAATTTTTAAAAAGTGTGAGTGGGCGTTATCACTTTCTTCAAACACTGGACGACCTTGGTATATCTATTTTACTGTTACCGCTCTATGAAATTACAAATGAGGAAAATAATATACTGATTCTCGATAACGTTGTTAGGTTTTTTGTCAATAATCGACGAAAACTTTCCACTAAGCTGTACATTACGACTACTCAAGATCAGCTGTCAAGCAGGCAAGTCATTCCACGCTACTAAGAACTGTTGTTTTGCATGCTACTATAATTGTACCAAAAAGTCAAACACTGCGAAATATGTTCTTGTAACCGCACTCTGACATATACTATTGTGACATTAACCATTTGAAAAAGCACATCAACTCATATACGGAGGTTCCGCTAATGCTACTTCTATTGTTTCCCGTTTTAGGCACCAAGAGCTGGCACTGTATCACAACAAGCAACACTGTCCAGATTTATTTGCTATATCACGCCTATTTTGTCAACATATCTACGGTATCAGATTTGATACGACATGAATGTAAAGTAGACCACATCTGGCGGCTGCGTAATCCCAGCACTAAGCGTTTTACTTGGAGGCGCCTAAGACGTAGGCTTATACCATGGAGGTAATAAGAATTGGAGGTTCTTATTACCTCCATGCTTATACAGAGCCGTTTAGATTATTTTTTAGTTAGTAGCTCGATTCAATTAGCAGTGAGTGTCTCAGACATTGTGTGCTTTCGGACCATTCTGCTATAACTTTAACCATTGGTGATGACCGTTGTAGACTTGGAACATCATATTGGAAATTCAATAATAGCTTTTTAGAAGATACAAGTTTTATTAATCTAATTCAGGATACATTTTTAACGTGGGTTGACGAGTTTGGACAAAATAATAGTATATTCTTGTGGGAATTTCTTAAATACAAAATCAAAAACTGTACAATAAAGTATAGCAAGTCAAAAGCAGTTGCCAGGAAAGATAAAATACGTGATTTGGAAAATAAACTATCGGAATTAGATAAATTGATGTCAACCCGTTCAACTATTAATATTCAAAATGAGCTCGAAAACGCACAAAAAACAATTACAGGGGAGATGCGTTCATTACAAACGGAGCAATAATCCGTTCCCGTACAAGCTGGTACGAACAGGGTGAAAAAAATACAAAATTTTCCTTGGGTCTTTTGCGCCATAATGAAAACAAATCACAAATTTCTATGCTGATTGACAGTAACAACAGATCTCTACATAATGCAAATGATGTTCAAGCAGAAATTAAACATTTTTATTTTAATTTATACCGCAGTAGGCGGATAAATCAATTAAATATGGACAATATATTTACAACCCACTCCAAATTAAATTCCATGGAAAGAGATTCATGTGAAGGCCCTATCACAATGAACGAGGCGTTTGAAGCGCTAAAGTGTTTACCAACCAATAAAGCCCCAGGTAATGATGGATTAAGTCCAGAATTTTACCGCACATTTTGGCCTCTAAATGGAGAAATTGTCTAAATTCCCTAAATACATATATGCATATATGCACGGTAAACTGAGCAACAGTCAACAACAGGGAGTTATTACACTCATCAAAAAAGGGGAAAGATAAAAGATTTATCAACAACTGGAGACCAATAACCTTACTTAATACTGATTACAAAATTGCATCAAAATGCATTGCACGAAGACTTAATAAAATTCTTCCTAAAATTGTTAATGAAACTCAGTCAGCCTTTATTAAGGGTAGATCAATTGGGGGACTGTGTACGCCTTATTGGACCAATTATGCATT